AAAAAAAGAAATTAAAATTGACTCGTTAATAAAGTAGCTAAAGGGAAAAAGGGAAACCTGTAGTTTACAGCAGAATGACAGTGACTTAAAGTAGAAGGTATCACAGTGGGAACATCTTCCTGCCACCATCATGGTAAGAGCTGGTTCAGGCGAGGCTGACACTTCAGCAGATTCCCTGCCAAGTGCTCATCCCAGGAAACATCAGAACCAGTCCAGATGGAGGCACGTCCTGCACCATCTTCAGAAATGTCAAGCTCAGGGCGGAGGCTGGGGCTCAGTGGCAGAGTGTTTGCCTGGCCTGTGTGAGGCACTGGGTTCAATCCTCAGCACCACATAAAAATAAATAAAATAAAGGTATTCTGACTATCTACAACTACAAAAAAAAAAAAGAAAGAAAGAAAGAAAGAGAAAAGAAAAGTAAAGAAAAGAAAAGGAAAAGAAAGAAAGAAAGAAAGAAAGAAAGAAAGAAAGAAAGAAAGAAAGAAAGAAAGAAAGAAAGAAAGAAAGAAAAAGTCAAGGTCAGGAACTCTAAGGAAGGCTGAAGAGCTACTTAGAGCTAAGGCTGTGGGGCCCTGGGACAGATTGTGCTTTTTCTTTCTCTCTTTCTTGCAGTGCTGGGGGTCTGACACATGCCAGGCAAACACTCTACCACAGAGTCACACACCCACCTCCTGGACAGGATCCTGCATCAGAAAAAAAGGGGCTGGGGCTGGGGCTCAGTGGTAGAGCACTTGCCTAGCATGTGTGAGGCACTGGGTTTGATTCTCAGCACCACATATAAATAAATAAAGATCCAACAACAACTAATAAAGTATTTTTTAAAAATGCTATCAAGAACATTATGCTGCTGCTTACAAGGACACTACATGAGCTCAGCATTCTACCACATTTTTTCTCGGCACATGACCATTTCCATTGTCAAGTAACAGTATGTCTTAGGAGATACACAATGAAGTACTTAGGGATAAAGGATCATAATTTCTACAACTAATTCACAAATGGCTAAGCAAAAAATGAAAATTATTCACACATACAACACACCTGAAGATAATACCTGAATTCAGACCAAAGATACAAGTGTTCATTATACTTCTCTGGAAACTCTTCCTTAGGTTTAAAATATTTTCATACTAAAGTTGAAATAAGTGCAGGTGATCGGCATGTACCTGTAGTTTCAGTTGCTCTGGAGGCTGAAGCCAGAGGATCACTTGAACCCAGGATTTTAAGACCAACCTGGGTGTGGGGTGTGGTGGCTCATGCCTTTATTCCTAGGGACTTGGGAGGCTGAGGCAGGAGGACTGTAAATTTGAGGCCAACCTCAGACACCTTAGGGAGACCTTCAGCAACTTAGTGAGATGCWGTTTCAAAATAACAATAAAATAAAAAAGGGCTAGGGATCAGCTCAGTAGTAGTGTACTCACCGTGCATAACTGAGGCTCTGCATTCAATTCCCAGTGCCACAAAAGGAAAAAAAAAAAAAAAAGCCTTATTTTATTTTTATTACAGTACTGGGGATTGAACCCAGGGCCTCAGACACGATAGCCACTTTCACTACCACTGAGCTACATCCCCAGCCCTTTTTTATTTGAGACAGGTTCTCACTAAATTGCCCAGGCTAGCCTTAAACTTGCAATCATCCTGACTCAGCCTCCTGAGTACCTGGAATTACAAGCATGTATCACTGCACCTGGCAGAAATGTCTGTATATAGCAGACTGGTTAAAATGGAGATTAACATTTTGTGATCCATTTTGGCAGCTTGATAAAGACCATGTGGACCCTATGTTTGATCCTCCAGAACAATGTTTTARTATCGATAAAAATGGCAGAATGGCGGGTAAACCAGATGGGGTGGCTCACTCCTGTAATCTGAGTGAGAAGAATCACAAATTCAAGCCAGCCTGGCAATTTAGCAATTCCCTGTCTCAAAAAAATAAAAAGTGCTGAGGGTGTGGGTCAGGGGTACAGTGCCCCTGGATTCGATCCCCAGTAGCAGGGAAGAAGATGTCATAAGGACATCAACTAAAATGACATACAGCTATCAAAATATTGCAAGGCAAGGTGGGTACAATGGCTCATGCCTATAATCCTAGCAGCTCAGG